ACTTTGAATTGGGGTATAGCCAGGTAACAATGGTGTAAAAGTTTCAGGTGAACAGCAAAGGGACCCAGCCATACATATACCTATATCCATAATCCCCAAATTCCCCTCCCATCCAAGCTGACACATAACATTGAGCAGAGTGCTAGTGCTATACAGTAGGTCCTTGTTGGTTATCCATTTTAAATATAGCAGTGTTTTTATGTCTATCCCAAACTCCCTAACCACCCCTGACAACCATAAGTACATTCTCTAAGACTGAATCTGTTTCTGTTTTGTAAGCTTATTTGCATCACTTCTTTTTAAATTCACGTATGAGGGATGTCATACAATATAACATAGACCATTTTAAAATAAAGTGATTAAATGTACAAATTAGTGCCTTTGGTAAAAGCAGAAATAAGAGTTTACATGTTTATGAGTTGGGGAGTTCGTCTTTGGTTTCTGTGACGCTTTAACTAATTTAAGAGGTTTCCTGGAGTAATTAATGGGATCCACACTCTAGAACCTTTGTTTCCATCTCTTGGAATGATGAGCATAGTGAAATGGGGTTCGTTTTTTTACTAAACTAAACCAAAGTACTATTCAGACCAAAGAACGGTTAAATACCTTCATTTTCATTTTTAAAATTTTTAATTAGAGGATAATTGCTTTACAATGTTGTGTTGGTTTCTGCCATACAACACTGTGAATCAGCCGTAAGTACACATACATTCCCTCCCTCCTGGACCTCCCTCCCATCGCCCAACCCCATCCCGCCCCTCTAGTCTGTCACAGAGCACGAGGTTGAGCTCCTTGTGTTACACAGCACTTCCCACTAGCTTTCTTCTGCATATGGTAATGTGTATATTTCAGTGATACTTTCTCAGTTTGTCCCACCCTCTCCTTGCCCACCTGTCCACAAGTCTCTCTTTATGTCTGCATCTCTGTTTCTGCCCTACAAATAGGCTCATCAGTATCACTTTTCTAGATTCCATATTTGTGTGTTATATACAATATTTGTTTTTTCTCGATTCTGATTTACTTCACTCTGTAACAGGCTGTGAGTTCTTCCACCTCACTAGAACTTACTCAAATTCATTCCTTTTTGTGGCTGAGTAATATTCTTCTGTATATATGTGCCACAATTTCTTTATCCATTCATCTGTTGATGGACATCTAGGTTGCTTCCATGACCTATCTGTTATCAATAGTGCTGCAATCAATATTGGGGTACATGTGTCTTTTTGAATTATGGTTTTCTCAAGGTATAAGCCCAATAATGGGATTGCTGAGTCATATGGTAGTTTTATTCCTAGTTTTTAAGGAAATCTCCATGGTGGCTGTATCAATTTACATTCCTACCAGCTGTGCAAGAGGGTTCCCTTTTTTCCATATCCTTTCTGGCATTTATTGTTTGTAGATGTTTTTATGATGGCCATTGTAGTTTTGATTTGGATTTTAATTCTTTAATTCTCTGGGGTAGGTTTTTAGGTGGTACAGCCTTTGCAATACATAAGGCATGAAGTCAGCATACAATAAGATTGCAAGGACTGAATCTTTCAATATATTTACTTGATTAAATATTTCTTATCCGTCCCTCCCTCTTTTTCTTCCCCAAGATTGTCTCTTTTTAAGGGAAATTTAGAAGATGAAGAGGTGAAAGTTACCTTTCCTGCCCTCCAGGAACTTATACATTGTCTTTAACATACTGATTTTCAAAATGTGGATTTCAGACCAGCAGAGTCAGCATCACCTGTGGTCTTTCAGAAAAGCAAATTCTCAGGCCCCATCCCAGATCCTCAGAATCAGAATCTTTGGGGATGAGCTGTAGCCATCTGCCTTCTCCCAGTCTAATGACTAGAATTTTATACCTTTCTTATTTTTCTATCAAGGACTTCCCAGGTGGTGCTGGTGGTAAAGAACTCGCCAACCAATGCAGGAAACATAAGAAATGCGGGTTCGATCCCTGGGTCAGGAAGATCCCCTGCAGGAGGAAATGGCAACCCATTCCAGAATTCTTGCCTGGAGAATCTCATGAACAGAGGAGCCTGGTGGGCTGCAGTCCATGGGATCACAAAGAGTTGGTTATGACTGAAACAACTTAGCATGTACATAAGCATTTCTCTATCAAGGTAAAACCCACATATCATAAAATTCACTATTTTAAAGTGTACAATTCAGTGAGTTTTAGTGTATTTAGAAAGTTATAAAACCATCAGCACTGCCAAATTATAGAACATTTCTATCACCCTGAAAGAAACTCAATAACTGTTATCAGTCATTCCCTCTGTCCTCTGTCTCTGCCCCCCAGCCCCTGGCAACCACTAACCTACAGATAAATTTTATCTCTATGGATTTGACTATTCTGAATATTTCATGTAAATGGAATCATACGACATGTGGCCTTTTGTGTGTGGCTTTCACTTAGCATTGTGTTTGCAAGGTTCATCTGTGTTGTAATATGTGTCAGTGCTTTTATTCCTCTTGTGGCTAATAATATTCCATGTACACATGCACTACATTTTGTTCATCCATGCAACACTTGATGGACATTTGAATTGAGTTGATTCCTTAGTTGTTGTTAATAATGCTACTGTGAACATTAGTTATGAGTTCTTTCACGAACATAACATTTTCAATTCTCCTGGGTATATAAAATTGATTCACCTTATTTGTGGTAGTTATATTCTTTAAAGTCTCTGCAAACACTGCATTAACGCATACTAAGTCACTGCTCTGCAGGTAAATATAGGCTTACGTTCCTTCCAGCCTCTGGTCACATTTGTGACATCCTCAGTACATGCCCTTGTTTTGTGTGTGTTTCTGTTTAAAGATATCTTACCAAATATATGGGGCTCCCTCAGTGGTGCAGTTGGTAAAGAATCCTCCTGACAGTGCAGAAGACACAAGAGACATGGGTTCAATCTCTGGGCCAAGAGGATCCCCTAGAGCAGAAAATGGCAACCCAATCCAGTGTTTCTTGCCTGGAAAATTCCATGGCAGAGGAGCCTGGTGGGCAACAGTCTATGGGGTTGCAAAGAGTTGAACATGACTGAGCACATGTCTGATATATATTGTTGACTCATTAATACTGAACTCATATCCAGCAGCACTATAACTCACTCCTAAATAAAGCTTACTGAGTACATGTATTTTCTCCCTAAGGCACGTCACAGCCTTCTTGAGCTTTGAAACTCCAGACAGCACTGTACATGACACCTCAGGACCATTTTAAACAGTGAAATTGCCAACAAAAAGCATGAAAATGTGAAAAATGCGGCACTGGAGTAGACTGCAAAAGGATCACTTGTTTTCAGGGTGAGAGCTGAAACAAGAAGGCAGTATGTCACCTTGCTAAAGCTCACCTGGGAACTTGTGTGTTAGAGGACTCAAATTTCCCTGTATTTTGTGTGTGTTCATGTTGAAGGACTGAGAAACACTATGAAGATTATTTGGGGATTACAAATAAATTTTAGCATGTAGGCATATTTGCAAATACAGAATCCACAAATAGTAAGGATCAACTGTACCTAGGAGTAAAATTGCTGTGTCATATGGTAACTCTGTGTTTATTTTTTTGAGAAACTGCTGGACTGTTTTCCATAGTGGCTATACTGTTTTACATTCCCACCAGTGTTGTATGACATTCCAGTTTTTCCTTGCCAACTCTTCTCTCCCTCCTTCCCTTCTCCCTTCCTTCCTTTCCTCTCCCCTTCCTTCCTTCCCTTCCTTCCTTTCTTCCCTCCCTCCCTTATTCCTTCCTCTCTTTTTTTGACTATAGCTATCTTGTGGTAAGTCACTTCATGTCCAACTGTTTGTGACGAAGCTTCCTCTACCCTTGAGATTCTCCAGGCAAGGATACTGGAGTGGGTTGCCGTACCCTCCGCCAGGGGATCTTCCCGATCCAGGGATCAAACCCGAGTCTCCTGTGGCTCCTGCATTGCAGGCAGATTCTTTACCTCTGAGCCACCAGGGAAGCCCTAGGTATCCTTGTGGCTGTCAAGTGGTCTCTCATTGTGGTTTTAATTTGAATTTCCTTAATAACTAGTGATGCTGAGTGCATATTAGCTATCTGTATATTTTCTTTAGAAAAGTCTCTATTCTAAAACTTTGCCTGTTTTTAAATTGGATTATTTGTCTTTTTATTGTTGAGTTGTAAGTTTTATATATTATAATTACTAGCCCCTTAGATATGTGGTTTGCAAATATCTTCTCCCACTCAAAAGGTTTTTTCACTTTCTTGATAATGTTCTTCGATATATAAGAGTTTTTATTTTGATGAAGCCCAATTTCATCTATTTTTTTCTTTGACTACTTGTATTACCGTCTTTAATTTTGAAATTGCTATCAATACAGCCCATTGTAAGAGTTGTTTACACATTTTTATTAAAGAAATCATAAAAAGTTAGATTTCATGGATTCAGTAAATTATCACTTATTTGTCAATAGCTGTCATATGTAATTTTAAAGCATTTATTTGCAGGTATTTGTAAGGTTTTTATGTTGTTGTGACTGTGGAATTTTAAATACTGGCATCAACAGGACCACAGATTTATAAAAAGCAGTGTCAAATTCATTTAACTGTTTTTGTTAAGGACAATTGAAGAGAAACACTTAAAATTGCTTTAAATAATACTTTCTTTTTTAATAAAGAAGCCTGCCTCTTTGAAAAACTATGAACTTTTTGCCTTAAAAGCAGAGTCTCAAGAGCCATTTGTGAAAGAACACAAGAATCCCCGGAACTTGGAAATAAACACGAATTGGTGTTTATTTGTGTTAGTTTAAATGCAGTAGCCCTATGTGTCAGAAAACTGAATCTGCAACACTTAAGTTAGGCTAAGCAAGCAAATAATGTCAGCTAACATGGCTTTAATCTACTAAGTAACTTTAAGTCTAAAAGATCAAAGGAAGTTATAACTAAAAACAGTCCGTAGTGCAATTTCCCTGTAGAAGCAGGAAAAGGCTAGAAATTACATGTCAGCTTCATATCCTGGCTTGCTGACCTTGCGCTCAGATCAAGCCCCTCTGTATGCCAGCTGTTACCATTACGGAGACCTTGCCCCCAGGGGTTAAGTAGGAGAAAACCTCTCCTGTCCTATAGGAGAGCAAACTCGGAAAGTTCCAGCCCCTAACATGCCTAATTCAAAGCAATCTGCATGTGCTTGTCATTCGGTCTGTCCTGCTGCTCCGAGGAGCTGCTCCTGCGACTCTCTGGTCGCCCTCTGCTGTGCTGTGTCCCTGCGGCCACTTTCGGCTGTTGCTACTGTAGTCACTTGCAGACCAAACCGAACCAGGAACGCTGCTTCTCTTACCAGAAAGGTAATACATTTATTCACGCTTCTGTGAATGTATTTGGGGAGGATTTCTTTTAAAGCTGAACTTTGCTGTGCGCTTCTCAGATTGAATTTAAAATTCCAGCTCACAGTTTTCTTTCGGTGTAAGCTTTGAACGGCATCTGAATGCATTAAAATCCCTCATGAAGTGTTTTGAATGTTAGTCTAGCACATTAGGGTAAGGTAAGCTGTTTCTTAAGGTTTGTTCTAATGTGCTTTCTTTACGAAGTTGGGAAGAAACCTCAGATGTCAAGTCGTTGAGCTGTTTCATGCTTTGAGGTTCTTTTTTAGTTACTTTCTAATCAGAAAAGTCAGAAAATAAATGCTTCTCTCATTGCCAGTTGGTCAAAAAATAGATGTAGAATTGTAGGAAATGCTTTAATCACTTTTTGTGAATTAAATGTTGTAAGAAAATAGTAAAATACTAGCATCTTTTAAAAAATTAGCTTTTAAAAAGAGAAGTTGGGAGCTAAGCTTGGGAGCCAAGCTTCCATAGCAAGTTTAATTTTTATCAATGTTTGTTTTAAACACAGAGCTTGCTGTACACTCTCAAGTTGTTTTTGAGATGATTAAATGTTTCATGTATTATGTTCATTTTAATGGTGGCAATAATAGCTACATTATAATTGGATTTATTACTCATAGTAGAAAGCAGAATGTATTTGCCATGTTTACTTTTGCTTAAAATTAAAGTGGATGATTTATATGTGACTGGTAGAAAATTTCAAACTAGATTAACTTGTGAAATATTTTTATGTTTTGTAGCGAAATGTGAAAATTTTCTAAACCAAGTGGGTAAAATATTTGCAGAAACTAGAGTATATCATGCAAATCAATGACAGAACATAAATGATTTTTTCAGGGATAATGTAAAAAATGGACAGCATACTTTACTTTACAGTTTGCTAAAATTTTCTGTAATAGGTATTTCTGTTGAAAGGAAAAGAATGAATATGTCCTGTTTACCCACAAGAGGGTTATCTTAGATAATAGTATTTATACTTAAGAAACTCCAGTTCCCTTTGATGGCTGGGAAGTCACTAAACTATGTAAATAAACTCTAGAATGTTCCACTGGTAGACAGTGGCTTTACTACTTCCCATGGTTTTAATGTCTGCTGACACATTTCTACTTTTCAAAGTGTTAAACAGTCTTGGCATTATTTTTAAAATATCATTTTTAAAAATTATTGTACTTTAAAAATTATAACTCTTAATAAACTATCTTATGCTTTCATTGTCAAATCTTGAATATTTTATTGGTTGATTATACTTCATTTGTCAGTTTTTGTTTTAGTATACAAAGATAGGCAGAGTATTTTTTGTGTCTTCTGTGTTTCATATAGCTTGCATCTTAGACATGGATTACAGAAGTATGAGCATGAGCTATTTGCACTGATTATGAAAAGTGTGTAATGTCTAAGTGTCTGAAATGATTGAAAAGCAATGTAGTAACATACATGTTAACCTTGCCTCAGTCCTGGAAATGGTATGTATTATACAATGGATTCGTCCAAAATTTCAGTCTAGTTCCAGTTGTCTTTTTAGTGTGTGTTAAACCTCTCAATCCTTTTTAGGTAACGGGGACTCTGCCTTTCAGTGTTTGCCATGCATCGGCTCTTTACCTTTCGTTCTAACTGCTTGGATTTCTGGGGTTGGGTCAGAGCCGCCCTCAGCAGTACGACTCTTCCAGCTCAGTACAGGTGATGGAAGCCTCGACCCACTGACTATGTGAAGATGTCCAGTTTTTCACAAGTTGCAGTTCCTTATCACATCCTAACACGGGAAAGAAAACCGAGTGTTTAGGATCAAGAAGATGAACTGCTTAACCTCTCAGCCTTTTGAAAAAATATAAAGTAAAAGAACTCAATATATGAGTGAAGCAAGACTTGGGGAACAGGGTGGCCCTTTGTTCTCTCTCCCTTAATTTCTATTCTTTTATCATTTTAATCACTATTAAACAGGCTCACTTATTTCAGGCTCACATATTAGATTCCAAAAACACTATTCACAGGGAACATGGTAGGTACTTATTATATGCTTGCTAAATAAGGACACTCACCTACTGAACTGAAAAATACAATTTAATTACCTTTGTGAGCAAATCAAATTCCCACTTGAACAATGTAAATGGAATTTCAGTTCACCTAATACATACAGGAAAGAAAACAGCAGAATTCACAAGCATTTATAGTGGTAATTTAAGTAAGGAATAGGAAAAGATTTATGAAAGGTGTACCCAGACTCTTGCTAAGGGTTACTTTACTGATGCAATTCAAGTAAGAAAAACAATCAAAATTTGATGTTTTTCTAAGCTGAAAGTAAATCTTAGTGTCCTTTATTTAAGTAAAAAGATGTCTTCAATTGTGTCTCATACAAATACCTTGAGATATGTCTTACAAGTTGCTCAGTAGACTAAAGGATACCCCTGAGACTTGATTTGCTGAACTCTGCAGGGAAGAACCCATTTGGGGAGCTGCTTGAGGAAATTTGATTTGCTACTTCTCAAACTTCACGGAACAGCAGGGAGCAGAGCCTGGTGTCAGATGCTTAGCATTGGTGGGAAAAGCTTAGATAATTCTAAGTGTAGGATGAAGAAACAACAGGTTACCATTTAAATCAAGCAACTTTCAAGCGCTTAATGGTGATTAATCTCAGGTTTTGGCTTTATGGAAGATGTTTTAAAAATTCCTTCACATTCTTTTGCTTCACAGTATGTGGATGTAGAATTTTCTTATTTTGATTTATCTCCGTGATGGTGTTTTTCTTTGGGCTGCTAAATTTTGAGGTTTTGAGATGTGTGAAATATTAAACATTCATGGTGTCTTTAGATGACTTGTGATCTCTGTTCAACAACATGAGTCAAGCTCAGTCATATGATTCTGTTTCTACTGGGGAAGAGCTGTAGTGATACAGACAGATTGCTCAATGCTTTGTGACTTTAGTTGGGGCAAAATAATTTCAGATGAAATCTTATGACCTAAAGATAGACCTATCACATCTTGGGGGTTCTGTTTATTACCAAAGCATCTTGTGATTATTATTATTATTATTATTTTTTTTTTTTTAGTGGGATATGAGGCTAGATTAGGAGGTTTGGTGTCTGGAGGCTGTCTGACTCTAGAATTGAAACATTTAAAATACTTAAAATGCAATCAGAAGGCTTTTTCTTTCTTTTTCCTTTCCTTTTCCTTCCTTCCTCCCCTCTCTTCTGTTGTTTTTTTTTTTTTTTTCCCTTCTTGCTTTCTTCTTTCTCTCTCTCCCTTTCTTTCCTTGTCTTTTTGGCACAAAGCTTTAGGGAGCAGGCTCTTTTAATAGAGAGGCTTGGGACTTCACATTGGAGATTGACCAGGGGTTGGGGAGATATTTTTTTCTTGAGGGTTAAATAAACTTGTTAGTCAAATTGGCTATATCCTAAACTCTATTCAGATGATCCATAAATATGGGCGTAGCCAAAGAGTTCATTCCGGTTTTTGCATAACATCTTATGACCAACCCAATAATTGAGACCATGTGACAAGTTGTTTTGTATTTCCACAACATTGTTCCACATGAATTTCACACTGTTGCCTCTCAGACTGATGTGTTATTGAGGATTTCTCTTCCCAGCACCCTTGTCCCCACCCTTATAACTTCAAGGGTAACCCCAAAAGAAGTAAAACTAATCCAAATACTATAATACATGTCTAACATGAAGTACCAGGTCCAAATGTTTTAGAATATACAGTAACAGTCTGCATTTCAAGCAATATTTTCTGAAACAGTATTGAATATTTTGAGAGTTAGTTGCTTGCTCTTATAAATTGATCAGCATTAATTAAATAAAGTATAGATCAGTAGTTCTCAATCCTAGCTGCACATTAGAATAATCTGGGGAGTATTTAAATAATGCTAATACTCGTACCCCTTACAATATGAATTAAATCATAACCTCTGGGGCCAGAGCCCTGTGTCTGTAATTGTTTCGTATCACTGAAGTGACTCTAGTATGTAGAAGGAGTTGAAATCACTGTAATAGACTTGTAACTTTGTATTTGTTATATTGATTATGTTCCCTTCAAGACTTGCAACAGAGTCCAAATGAATGTCTCAGCTAGTTCTTGAGTTAGATAACAACTTTTTAGGGGGCTTTCTAGAGTTTTCTTGAAAGACCAAAGGTTGACATTTTTTTTAAAGAATTGAAGTATAGTTGATTTACAATGTTGTGCCAATCTCTGCTGTACGGCAAAGTGACTCAGTTATACACATATATACGTTCTTTCCAAACTCCTTCCACATATCTGATTATAGAAATTTCTCTAGTTTTATTTTGTATATTCTTAGTTATGCAAATGAACATAAAATCTTCAGATTTAGGGTTAAATTGTTGCAGCATAATAGAATTGAAACTCATCCAAAATAGGAATGTGAAAACAAAAGAATACTTTCTCTTTTTTAAGACCATTGATGCTTATGGATATAATATTTTTAAGTGTGGGGAGAAGTGGTGAGTATTTTGTGGAATGATGATTTTGGTGGATGAACTTGGAAAGAGAGCTCTAAAAACTGCTTTAATAGCTACAGTATAGTGATAGGGCTCTTGAAATGTATATTTAGAGAAGTGTTTATATTGGAAAGAGAATGTTCTCGACTACCATTTATCGCAGACTATAAAAGATAAACTTTCTTACATCCACATTTCTCTTCTCACATAGACCTGCTACCAAAGCTACATTAAATACAAAACATGAGAAAAATGAGAGTAATGTTTCTACAACAATAAAATTCCTATCACTCAGTCCTATAATATGAAGCTCAGCTAACTCTTATTTAGCAATAAGACTGTTTTCCAAATTCAGGGTCTTCAGATTTGCTATGGCACTATAATATCTTCCTCACGTTGTTTAACTCTTACCTGTCAATACAGTTTTGTAAATCTGGGCAAGGGCAAAGCTGTATCTGTTCATTTAAATTTTTCTTCTGTATCATTGAGCTGTTTGTAAATATT